AATAATAATAATAATAATAATAATAGATATATAGTGCCTATCCAGATCTGTTCTAAGCACTTTACAAAAGTAAAGAGCTAAAAAGAAAGTTCTACGAGATAAAATTACAGAGACCAATGATAAAAAGTAAAATAAATTAAAAATTAAAAGCCAAAACAATAATTATTAAAAAGAAACATGTTCAGTTCATGTTTAAAATGACTTAGATTATTGCATGAATGTATATCATTGGATAGTTTGTTCCAAAGTTCTAGAGCTGAGAGAGAAAATGCTCTGGATCCATAGGTTAAGAAGAAAGGGGTGAATGGGTTTATTGAGTCTTGTAAGACAAGGATTACAGAACCAATAAGGATCTCCAAGGGGGATACCTATCCCAAATCAAAATTTTCATTTTCTTTTTAAGTTTGTTCCTATTACTATGTTGCCTAGTTCTTAATGTGATGTGTGATGGCTTTTATGTCTTGAAGCAGTATGGACAGTGTTAAATACCTGCTATGTAACTAGTGTGCTTGTTATTCTTGTTTTTCTGTAAAAGCTCGGCATTAAGACCTGTTGAGAGAAATATTGATAAAAACTAATAAGATCATGTGTAGTTATTATTCCCCACAACTGACAAACACTCACTCTGAGCAAATTATATATGCTCATCTCATTTGAAATGAGCCAGTTTTGGAAGTAGCAAAAAACGTCACTTGAGACAGAAATGTATTACAATGGGGAAAAAAAAAATTGAATTGCTGGTATTTCCATGCTTGGTTCAATAGAATTGCATGGTTATTACTTACTTAGAAGTAAAGTGTAGTTCCAGAAAATATCCATACCTCACCCACAGAAGGTTTTTTATTGACCCCCCACCCATTTGGAAATTCCAATTAAGCTTCATATGTTTCTTTAATTTTTTGGTCTGACAGACCCCCACCACAATATGGATATTTTCTGGAACAGCACAATGCTGTCTTTGTCAGTTAGCCCAAACAATTTTTTTTTCATTTTAAGGGGAGCATTAAGAAATTATTACCATACCTGGGCCCTCACGCTTTTGAAACTTTTCAACTAGTTGTTTGGTGTCTTCATACTCTTCAGGAGTTAATAGTGGTTTCTGTGCATCAAGATATCTGCGACATGTGTCCTCCAGTTTTGGAATTGGCAGTCGTGGAAGACTGTCTTGAAAATGAAAAGTGGGAACAGTGGTCTTGGGCTCAATGTACCTAAGATCTTGCGAGCTTGAACTGTGAACACAATGAAGCATTTTCACATGGTTACGAAAGTAACATGGGAATGTCAGAATCAAATACAATATTTTGTAACAAAGCTTGGTTTTGATGTGAAGTTCCAGGAATATTTCAGCTACCTTACATCAAGTACTGAGACCAAATGAGTATCCACTTGTGATGATTGATTTATTGGAACTGATATCATAAAGTGTAATAAAAAACCACAAGAAAAATATGACATCATGGCAGCCATATTGGTTTCTCAAAGCAATGAAATGGCAGCCATGTTGGTGTACCAAACCAATTATCCTATGGGAGTTGAACTCTTTTCTTATGTAAATACTTTCTTTCATTCCAATAAATTAGTATCCCTGCTGGCCATGGATAAATGCACTATACAAACCTTGCACCTTAATTATTGTAGACTGATATTGAAAATTAACAAACAGAGCCTAAGTTCCTAGGTGTTCTGACATGTGATACCAACTCCCTCACAATTTTGCTGCAAAAGTGACAGAATTAGGAAAAAAAAAATATGTAGGGTAGGTTACCCTGGAACTCCATGAAGCATTGTATGAAACCCTAACCTTAAATGCAACTTACATTTACTTCTTAAGAGCATGTACTGAGCTGTGCAATATCCTTTTGGGTATGTGGGAGAAGGCTGATAAAAGTAAATGAGCAAACAAGTTACACAGAAAAAGAAAGCAATCAAGTTAAGTCGAAACCTATGCAAACTTACAAATTATTTCATGGTCAGCCTGAAGGGGCCCATGCAAGGAACAATAGAATCTTGCAGTCTTAATTACATTGATTGATGCAGTAAATCAGGACCAACTTTACCAAAATAATTCTCCCAAATGATTGCCACACTTTTTGTCCATAATGGTTCTGAGAACTTGGTATACATTCATTTATACCATGTCATAGAAAATACAGCCAATCAGAATACAGGAAAGCTGGCGTATATTTGACAGTATTTATACATCCAACCTTCCTATCATACGCCACAAGCATGTCATATTGAGAATCAAAAGCATGGTATAATAATAATAAGCTCTCATGGTATACCATGGAACATCCCACTTGTCACGTGTATTTTTGGCTGATTTCACTAACCTGCTGGACAGTACTTGTAGAGACTGTTTGTTTATGTAACAACTAACACTTGATCTTACTGCATGACTCATTGTTTGTTTTATATATATCTATATATTTTAAAACGCTTACATACGTACATGTATTTCATATTTTATTAATTATTAGATAAGTAATCGTACTTAGGTGTCCCCAATTAGT